TCTTGATGTTTCATCATTTTTGACTTCAATAGTCAATCATTCAGTTTCGATTTTGTAAAATATTTTGATTTTGTTAAATATAAGTGTGTGACTTATGGTGCTCATAATCTTTGAACAACAAATGTATAGTGAGGGGTTCGTTATGTTTGAGTATGGACAATTCTTGAAGAAAAGAAAAAAATGAATAAATGAAATAAGCATTCATTATGAGACGTAATATTTAAATCAGAAAAGAAAAATGTTTTCCATTATATTTATGTATCATTATATTTCATTGTATTTATGTTTCATTATATTTATGTATCTGTTTCTTCTAAAAGTTAACTTCATATTATGAAACTTTCAGAAGAAGAAAAAAAAACAGATATAATTAACACTATTTTTTAAGAAAAAACATTCATACTCATTCTTTAATATATTTTAATAAGGAAGGTGTTTTTGAAGAGGCAACTTGAAATGAATTGTCTTTTTTCAATTATTCCCTACCGAATATCCTTCTCTAAAAATAAATGCAAAACATGAATCTGAAATCCAATTAAATACTGAAAAGAAATAAGATATTAATTTTACACGACTGAAAGTGGAGGAATATTTCCCTCACAGATCAGCTGTTTATTGAGGCGTTTATTAAGGTTGGAAAAACAATTATATTCCTTTCAAAATTAAATCTTGCTTTTATTTTTTTAAAGTAAGGTGTCGGCAAAATGAGCCGCCTTCCAATGTGGTGAAGCGGGTTTGAACCCCCAGCGATGTCGATACGAATTCGTTATCCGACAGAAGGTGCTGACTAATTAGAATATCCACAGACGGACTCCCTTTGTCGCCCGGCTAACCGTGGTAGGTGTTCGTGGTCTCCATGTAACGCAAAAGGCCATCAAAAACACGAACATTTATCCCACTATTTGATCCGGGAGTTCCCTCTGGATTGGGTTCAAAATGACAAAGCTATGGAGTAGCCGTAAGTCCCCCAAACAATTGGGTCGGCTGTTCAAAGACTGTTACAAAATAACATATCAAGTGACATACTTCGCTTAATTATTTATTAAATAGTTTGTATTATTGGCGCTATGTAGATATCCAAATTCAATAGATATTCAAATATTTTCAATTTTTACACGAAATAAGTAAGTGATAAAATAACAAATTAATTCCATTTAATAATTAACTATATATACCGGGCCGGGATAGCCTGGTGAGTAAGACACTGGGTCCATGTCCAAGAGTTCGTGGGTTCGATCCCAGCCGGCCGAAGATTCCCCGAGTAGTCAAATGGTGACTGATGCACATTAAATCTGTCGAGTCGCAAAGTCCACCATGCTCTCGTAACAAACCTCGTCTTCTGGATTGGGTTCAAAATGACAAGGCTATGGAATTGAACATTAGTAGTAGTAAACCTGAAAATTGGGTCGGCTGTTTAACGACTGATATATATATATATATATATATAGGTGATTCTTTTTAAACAATTCGGACCAAAAAATTTCTTCAAATTTAGTCTTCAAAATAATCTAAAAATTTTTTGTATACTTCTTTAGTTACATTTATTAATATATTAAAGAGATCAGTGTAGTTTATTGACATCTGCTCGAGAAAAAAAATAAAATAGAAATTCACCAAATCTTGAATGCCAGGAAAATGAGATTATAGCTTAGAAGTTTAAAAATCAGTCATTTTAAGTTAATAGTAAGTAATTCAACTTAAGCCTTTATGTTAGATGGACCATAAATTGCTTAAATTAATTCTTTTTATCCACTGTAGAAAGAATCACATTTTTTTTTTGTTGATGATATGAACAGAATAAAATTGTGTATAATAATCAATCATTAACAAATAAATAACTTTGATAACATCGAACCATATTACAATCATACATAAACTTGGTATTAAGTTAATATTTGCTCTCCCTCCTTACAGTATTAGCAGTTCAAAAGAATTTCTGGTATCACTTCAATGTCCTGCAATTCATAAGCCAGGATATTGACAAATTCGCCATTTTATAGCCTATAACTTTACTTTAATATTTTGGCCTAAGACGTTTACATTCTGCAGAAAAGAACAGGATTTCTTAAAATATCTCAGATAAATCTAAATCTATGTTTATGTTATTAATGATTTCAAGACGCCAGGAAAATGACAACACAAGAACCTACTCATATTGAAAAATTTTTTGAAATAGATTTTGAACCAGAAAATTTGTTCTTTATTCGTGCAACAAGACATGTTCATATAGGAGAGAATCTAATTAATCTATTAGCGTATGATATTGATTGCTGGCTCTATCTATTTTGGTTATAAACCACTAAATAAAAGTAGCCAGGAAAATGACAGATTTTCTTGGGACAAACAAATTATTGACAGAAAAAATTATTTTAAACAAAAGTTTTGTAAATAATACCCTCTGCTTATATTCTAGAAATGCTTTTTGAAGTTTACTAGACTTGAATTTCTTATTTCTCTCATAGTTTTTCATTGTCATTAAAAACCTCAGCCAACGAGGTTAAATCCAATTATATTTTAACATAGAAAACTTCATGCAAAAGGCATACAATTAAAAAAAAAAAAACAGTAAAGTATTAGAGATAAAATTGAAATGTTGTTCAATATATCAAGCGCTGAATTTTAAGAGAATGTGACCTCCTGTTGTTCAGGTGAATTGGAAAAAAAACTAACTAAAAAAACGTCCTGGTTAAATAAGAATAGGCGTACTAAAAGTATAATTAAAAAATAACATAAAAGTATAGTTAAATGATAATTAAATAAGAATAGGCATACTTCATATAACAGAAGGAATTGAATTTTAACAACAAAAAAAAATTAAAATACTTCTTTCTGTTTGGTTTGTATTTCCGCTTATTTCTTCATTGCAAACAATTTATGTTCCCAATTTCATTTTGTGATTACAGCGCCATCTGTGAACTAAAATACAAAAACCTGCAGGTCAAATGAGAGTAAAATGATGATCGAAGAATCCATTTTCTGAAAATATCGCATTCCTCGAGATTTTCATGCTTTTCCAACCCACTTTATATGCATTCATTATACTTGAAACTTGTTCTTTCAAGACAGTTTAAATAAACGGATTCAAAAGGTTTAGTAACAGCCTTAATATATTTAATATTTGAAGTAGCTCTCTAAGAAAAAACTCTATGAAAAATTTTACGATCAAAAGTTATTTTTTATGAAGGGGAGTCAACTTTTCTTTGCAATAATTGGTTATAATTCAATTAAAATTCATTTGATGAATTTTGCGTTGTTAATGCAAATCCATTTTAAGCATTCATTTAAACTCTACGGAAAGAAATATTTCAAATGAGTGATTTTTAATTTTTTTTTTTGCTTTGCCGAACACTTTTGGTTTTAACGAATGAATAATATTATTTAATTTCCCACAGCAGTTTCTTAAACATACCAACAACAAAAAAAATGTTTCTACAATTCAAACTAATTTATTCATACATTACCAAAATTCTAATCATCTACTTTAGCAACGAAAGAATCACTTCAAAATTGATTTGCAACTTTCTTATAATTTTTTTTATCAACATAATGTATTTTTCTGCATAAATGTCTGCAGCGACAATGAGTTGTGCTTTATTTCATCTGATTCTATTTATATTTAACGAAGCAGCCTTAGTTTGCGCTGCTCTGCTTATTTTCATTAAACCACTTGTTGTTTCATTTTTTTTTCATATCTGTCGTTGAACAGCCGATCCAATTTCGGATTTACGACCACCCATGTTCAACTCTGTAGCTTTGTCATTTTAAACCCTATCCAGAAGACAAGGGAACTCCTGGACAAAGCACTAGGAGAAACTTTCCTTAGTGGAGGACTTTTTGTATGCAATTAACCCGCCTATGCTTTAAATGGAGCGGTAGACCACGAGAACCTCCCACGGTTAGCCCAACGGCAAAGGAACCATGATCCGTCTACCACTGACGATATTTCACGTCACCGATGTGGTTGGTGCAAGTCCGATGCGGAATTCGAATCGATCAGGCATCGCTGGGATGGAAACCCCTCATTGGAATGCCCTGAGCCACTACGGCTATGGTTAACATTGTTTCATACGTTTTCAATTAAGTATCATCACGTGTTTTCAGTAAATGTTACGCTACTTGTTTTCAGTTAACATAGCTCAAACTGCTTTCATTTTATATAACGCAACACTTACTCTCTGCTTGCAAAATGTAGCATGGCGCTGCAGCAGACACTGGTTAGGAGAATGCACCAGAGAATGATTTAAACGACCGGAATATGGTAAAATTTACCATGTTTCTAGCTCTATTGGCAACAACAAAATGCTCGGTCATTTTTACAAAACTTTGGTAATAGGATTTATAATATGTGATACAATTTGGTAATTTTTTCAGAATACCTTAAAGCCATTGATTCGATTAAAGCCATTATTAAACCATCAAAACCATTTATTTGTTTTGTATGTTTTACTATATGTTTGATAATACAGTTCCTGGCAAAACATTAGACACACTCTAAGATTCTATGTAAAATCTTAATTATCATCAGGTGATATTCTATACAGCTTTATTGTTTTGACGCGGCTGGGTTGCACTTGCTTACGTTCCTTTATCAATTAGTTAACATTGTAATGCAATACGTTAAAAATAAATACGCAAATAGATTAAAAAATCTCCCGAAACCCATTACACATGTATGTTGAAATATTAAAGTATTGAATATAAACTCGTGTGCAAATCGTGTCATTATTAGAACGCTACAGTGAGCCTCATCATTTGATCTCATTATTACACTATATCTACTAACATAATGCTTGATATAACGAATATTCTACATTTATATCGTCAAATTTATATTATGCATCGTCTCATTTGACCAACTGAATACACTAACGTAAGCAAGTGCAAACTGTCTCGTACAATAGCTGTATAGAGTATGAGATGATAATTAAGATTTTACATAGAGTGGGTCTAATGGTTGGGAGTGTAGTATTTTATTAAGCATAGATGTTTGATATTTGCAGACAATACGAGGGAGGGGGCCGTCCAAACAAACGACAGGCTGCGACTAGTAGCTGGTAAAGTGAGCGTGTCTTATAACACTGTGAAGGGTGCTCTGACTGGACTGCACGAGAAGTACGAATCTTCGAAGGTGGAGAGAAACGTGTTCAGGCGGTATGCACTTCTCAAAGGAATCGTCAAGGAAGTCATCCAACTAGACGCCCAATACTGGCTCCTGCTAGACGTCCCCAAACAAGACAAGCAAGAACAGGTAAATGCATTTCATCTACTCTATTTTACATATTTTGGATTTAGCCTTGTCATTTTGAGCCCGTTCAAGAAGACGATGGAACGCCCGGATCAAGTTGGCGGAGGACTTTTCTGATGGAACATTTGCGTGACATGGAGAGGGAAACTACGAAAACCTCCCTCGCTGAGCCTGACGGCAAGGGGACTCTCACCCGTGATCCGTCTACCACTGAGAATTTATTACGTGAGCACTGTGGTCGGCGTGAGGCGGTTACGGAATTCGAATCGATCAGCCATCGCTGGGATTCGAACACGATTCGCCTCTTCTGGAGGCGAGCACTCTATCCCCTGAGCCACCACGACTCCTTTCCCCGACTGTTTTATATCGTTGAACAGCCGACTCAGGTTTTGGGTTTACGACTTCTCATGCTCAACTTTTTCAGCCTTGTCATTTTGAACCCAATCCAGAAGACGAGGAAACTCCTGGATCAGTACCCTCAGGGGTATGATGTGTTATGGGAGCGTGGCGGATTTTGAGACTCGACAGATTTAACTTGCATCAGTCACCATTTACTACACTGGGAGTTTTCGGTCAGCGGGGATTGAACCTACGACCCTTGGGCCCACTGTCCTACCCACCAGGCTATCCCGACCCTTTCCCCGTTGTTGCCTTCTTTTTCTTCGATTAGATTTTTATTCCATAGCTGTGGAACTACGAAATTGCTTCCGGGAAAAATTTTCCCTTTACGCCAAAGAGTGTGAGTTTTAAATTTAAATTCTGAACCGAAGAATCCACTGCTAAAGGAAAATTTTATTTAATTTTTTTCTTTTACCAGGTAACTAAAAAATATTTGCTTTTTCTTTTTTCTTTTTTGTTGACGAAATCTGATTTTCCCCCACAGTTCAGATTTCGACACTGTGTTTCGTCCCAGTTTTAGATTGTGTTACAAAGTAGCGAAGCAACGAAAGTGTCTCAAAAAGTTCTAAACACATTAGAGTATCTTCTTTTCAGTGGTGAGTCTAAATGTTATCAAATTATCTATTGTTTAAGAGAAGATTTATCAATTTCCTCTTCGTAGTAGGCTATTGCGACAGTTATAATATTTTGTTGCTATTTTCCACGTTGTAAACAGAGCTGTTCACGTATTGGTTTAGAAAAAAAAATATCATAATTTTTTTTTTCTATAAACACGGTAGAATGTCCACGTGAAGTTTTAAAAAAAACTTTCTCATGTTCATGGGAAATTTCATTGAATCTCACCTTGTTACGCGACGCAACTCACAAGAGTTTGATAAAAAAAAAAAGTTGATTTTCAGAATTTTTATAGCAATGAACTTATCATCATCAGTGGTCCGACAGCCCAGGGTGGGCCTTGGTCTTCTCAAGAAGTTTTTTTCCAGTTTCACCTTTTCCTGCTATCGTTTTCCAATTTTTAGTTTTCAAGATCAAAGGGTTTTTTCCTAGGCCATCTGTCCATCCCAAATTCGGTCTGCCTTCGTGGTGCCAAATGGTCTGGCAATGAAATCTTTTTTTTGTGGCGCGGTCTTTGTCCCTTCTGATTCCCATTTTATTCCTTGTCGTTTAATAAAGTTAATAATGTCATTATAGGAGTGATAGATTGTAAACCACACACCATTTTTTTTTTAATTCCTCCAAATATACTTCTCAAGACCTCTCTCTCAAAGGTTCCCAACATAACCGTATAAGATGTGTCCCAGGTTTCACAAGCATATGTAAAATTTGATCTATCTTTCAATGAAACCTTTTTTTCAATGAATTCCGTTATGTAATTCCATTCAAACATCCATGGTGATTCTTCCTTCCATGTTATTGATTATGGTACCCAAGTAAGCGGTCAACAATACTCAAATTTATATTCTTCCATTTCTAAATGGGTGTTCTTGAAGCTTGTTTTAGTACAGGGTAAATATTTTAGAATGAACTTATCTTAGACAATATTTCGCTAAACAACTTGTCAGGGTTTAGTCTAAATGTTATCAAATAATCAAATGGATTGGTGAAAATTTTATCTAATTTCAGTACGCTGCTTGGTTTAAGAAGAAAAAAAGAATCTCTCTACATAAAATGTGATGATCACATTTTATGTTATCGGTTTTGTGACGGAGAAAAAAAATTTACCTGGTTTTTTACAAACTCATTTTGAATACCTATTCTGATATCAAAACTTGTTCTTTTAACACAAGTTAGTCCCGCAGTGGACTGATCGTTAAGACATGGTTCCCAGCGAAGTCAAGCATCACTGGCTACGGTCAGTGTGTGGGTGGGTGACCACTTGGATCAGTCTGCGTGGGGACCGAGGGTGTGCGGTATGGGTCCTCGTTAAACTGCGCTACCGTAAAGTGCTCGACTTCGCGCGCAGGTCGTCGGGCTACCGAAGCGGGGGTGCCATCCCTTCCGTAGAGGATCAAAATTGTGATGGCATGTCTTCGGATCATCCTCCGGGATGTTTCCCAGACCGTCGCCAATAGCCCATTGTGCAGCTCTAGTGCGACGTAAAGTAACAACAACAACACAAGTTATTATATTAAAAGTAAAAATTAACATTAAGAATTGATTCAGTAAGCTGATATTTTTAATTAAAAATGTATTAATGTTAATAATGATGATACGAAAATCTTAAGACGAAATTAATTTTTTTATTTTAAATTTATTCAATGAATCTCAAATAATAACAATTAACTGTTTCGATTGTAAGTCAAAAGGATCATTTTTTTATAAAGCACACTACTGCAAAAAAAAAAAAATGCTATCGCAGTTTACTCTCTTAACTAAAAAAGTAATTCCTTTTGCGTATTTTTCTGGAAAATACAAATACAGTCCATATTATTAATGTAAGATTCTATGTAAAATTATAATGATCAGGTAATACTATACAGCTGTATTGTTTTTACTCGGATGAAACCGGTTTGCATTTGCTTACGTTCCTGTATCCATTGGTTAACGTTGTCATGCAATACGTTAAAAATAAATACAAAAACAGGAAGTATATACAAAAACCTATTATATTTATGCTTAAATAGAAAACCATTGCCTATAAACTCGTTCAAAACATGTCATTATTAAAAAAAAACACTACAGTGCTTCTCATCATTTGATCTCATTATTACACTATACTCATATATAATGCTTGATATAACAAATATTCTACATTTATATAATCTCATTTATATTATACATCGTCTCATTCGCGAAGGTAAAAACGAGTGCAAAGAGTTTCCTAAAAACAATAAGGCTGTATAGAGTATCACACGATAGCTAGGATTTTACAGATAATTTTATAGTGCGTCTCATCATTTGACTGTGCAAATCAATGTAATTCTGAGAAGTCAATATTTTAGTTGTTCTGAAATACTGAACATTGAAAGCAATTAGAAAAGAAGCATGTTTTCAAAGCACTGCTCATTTGCTTGAAGGACGTACACGAGTGTAAAAAATCCTATAGAACATTCTGCCTCATTCCAGTTTGAAAAAAAAAAAAAATACCAAATAAAATTTCCGTGAAAGGATTCCTTTGATTAAAAAATCTCTTTGAAGAAGGAGACCGAGTGAAGTTGAGACTTCTGACACAGCCTAATAAAATTAATGAAATTAAAAAAGTTTTTCGTGAAAGAATAACTGTAGCAACTCATTTATAAAACATATTCCAAAGCCTTAGCTTTCCTACAAAAAGAAGAAACACTTTTACAAGATTTTGGGGTCAAACTAATTTATCAAAATAAGTTATTGAATAACTTGTTCTGAAATAAGTATTTAATGTTTACAATCATTCAAAAATTAGATTATTAGAAATGGTTATTTCCAATTATATTCCTAAGCAGTATGTAATGAAATGTAAAATGCAGTATTACTTTTCATAGTTTGCCCTCTTAACTTGATTTATAAAGAAGGCGAAATACTAGGGAAAGAAAAATAGTATTTATTACTATCGAGACCAAAAACGGCGAGCCGTGGTAGCTCAGGGGATAGAGCTTTCGTTTTCCTTGGAACCGGGTTCGAATCCCAGTGATGGCAGATCGATACAAATTCCGCACCCAGCTCGTAGTACTGACGTTAAATATCCTCAGTGGTAGACGGATCATGGGTGAGAGTCCCCTTGCGATCAGGCTATCCGTAGGAATTCTTCGTGGTTTTCCTCTCCATGAAACGCAAATGCCGGTTAGTTCCATCAAAAAGTCCTCCACGAAGGCAAGTTTCTCCCAATACTTGATCCGGGAATTCTCTAGTCTTCTGGATTGGGTTTAAAATGGCAAGTCTACGCAGTTGACATTAATAGTCGTCAACACTAAATTGAGTCGGCTGTTCAACGACGGTTATGAAATAAAAACAAAATTCAAACCGGCGAAATAAAAAGGCGCATGTTTGAAATTCGATACCTCAGAAACTATTTAATCGATTTCGCTCAAATTTTTTTTTTTTTTTTTTCGTTTTTGTTGCATGATTTCTCTGCATTACATAAAAAGATAATGGTCTTAATTGTAGGTGCAATTTTATGACACTGGAAAAAAAACATACGATGAGATCATCCATTAACAAAGAAAATTCGGAAATCTTATATCACCAATGTTATTGCTGTATTTAGCGATCTCTTATTTAACGGTAATTCTGTTTTCCTTTGGTAGTATGAAGTCATCTTCCACTATTTTTTTTTTTAACTATTAAGCTATTTAGAGCCGCGATGGCTCATGGGATGGAGCATTCGCACTCCAATGAGACGAACCGGGTTCGAATCCCAGTCGATACGAATTCCGGCTTCCACCGACCACAGTGCTGACGTGAAATATCCTCAGTGGTAGACGGATCCATGGGTTAGAGTCCCCTTGTCCTCACGCTAACCGTGGAAGGTTTTCGCGGTTTTTCTCTCCATGTGCCGCAAATACGAGTTAGTTCCATCAAAAAGTCTTACACGAATACCAGTTTCTCCCATTGCTTGATCCAGGAGTTCCTTGTCNGTCCTCCTGTTCGGTTTTCCTGTTACGTGAATGTGGGTTAAAATCCTCCAAGAAGGCAAATTTCTCCCAATACTCGATCCAGGAGTTCCTTGTCTTCTGGATTGGGTTCAAAAATACGCAGTTGAGCACGAGTTGTCGTAAACCAATTAAACTGGGTCGGCTGTTCAACGACAGTTATAATATAATATTAAATAATATTAAGCCATTTATATTTTACGTTACTTTTCCGTTTCATCTATTTTCGTTATATTTTTTTAAAATTTAAATTGAAGGTCTTAATCAGGATGGAAGGCGTGACATTAAAAGTGATGTTCCTTTATTGTTCTATTATTAAAATAGTGCAACTGTTTAAGATTCTAAGAGGCGTGACAGCCCATGGAGGGCCAAGGACTATCTCATTTTTCTTAACCTTGGGATGTTCCTGTTGGGTGGTCGGTCGTTATTTTATCGAAGGTATGAATCAACCTTGCCTTGTCAGATGCCAAGACCATTCAGCATTTTATGATATTGAATGACCGTTTTGTACTTAATAAATTGTTAAATAATTGACATTCATTCTTATGATAAAATTCAGAAATTAAAATATTGACTGTGCCAACCTATAGAACTTGCGAGTGTGGGTATCTTTATGCTGATGGGTTGTTGAGATGTTTACGTGGGCAAATGTTTTTTCCATTCTATTTCGAGTCAAGTTCTCTTAAGTGACACATTCTTTCACAAAGATTCTTTCACCGTGTATCTCTTACTAAACACAATGACATGCAGAACATAAACAAACTAATTATGCATCGAAGTACACAAAACAAAAATATATCATGGTTACAGTGAAATACATAAACAAATATTAAATATAAATTAAGTATACGACGTAAACGAATTTAACAAATTAGATGGGGGGGGGTTGTCCATAATAAACTTCTTCACTCATGCGACAAAAACTGAGCTCGACAAAATAATTTTTTAAAATTGTTAAGAAACTTTTCATACAGTTACTAAATAATCTTCCAGAGAAAAAATATTTCACAGACTCTTACATTTACCGAAAGTTAAATAAAATTTTTATGTTAAGCTTGGACTGGCAATGATGACCAAGCAAAATGTTTACATTTTATCCGAATAGGGTTAGAAACCAAATCATTATTAACAGAAATATTTTTTAATTGAGAAATTTTTACTTTTGATTGATGCATCTGATTGTTGTCAACAAAAATTATGACGAAAGCAATCGCGAGGGTTGGAGAGCGGAAGCGAGCAGGATCCCCTATTATTATCCTACGAATAACCTCGTTTACAGAATTCCCACACAAAATGTCTCACTCAAAACTCATAATAGAGTGCATGCTTTAACACAGTTTGGAACCGATGTTAAAAGCTGAGAATAAAGTATTCTATATTTTTCAAATATATGAGAATATAGAATAATGTTTCTCCCTAAGTATAAAACAAAATATTATTATACTATTTTCAAAATATTATACTATTTTCAAAAAAGAAGTTATAATATTTAAAAAAAATATAGAATAAAATATTTCAAATATAAAACTAAGTTATAATTTTATTCAATAATTATTTCATCAAGAGGGGAAAGCATTTTTTGTAAAGTTTAAGAGTCATTTACCCTTTTGTTATTTTATGTTTCAATTTTCTTTTATCACCTTAATATTTTAATTCCTTCCCAATGAAGTTGTTCCTCAAGTTTCGGTGCAAAACGAAAATCGGCGAATAAAGCTGCCTCCAATTAACACATAAATTTTCAGAAAAAAAAAATCAAATCCCCGAATAGTGATCAATAAATTAATAAGAAAGGATTCTTCAAAAACATTTATAATCAGAGGAAGCCAACGTGTCATAGAGGTTGTCTCATCGATCAAAACGGTTGACATAACATCAGGATTACACTGTCAGCAAAAGATCTTTTTATGACAGTTATATTTAATATTGTATGTTGTTTGTTTATTACACATCGACCTTCCCTTGTACGTGCCTTAAGGAAAGTGATTATGGAAAAATAGCTGTTATTTCTTCTATTTATCTGTTTGGAGCTTACAGCGGAGATTGTAGTAGTAGTGGAGAGAGCAGATCACTGCTAAGAAGGAGAAAAACACGCGTTGAATACTATGATGGCTACTTTTTGAAAGCTTTTTACCATATTCAAAAAACAAAACCTTTCTGAGTATAGCAATTTGATTTCATAACTGTTGTTACTTGACAACATTTATGCTCTTTAAACTCGTATATCTCAAGCAACCGTTCTTTTTCAAGCTATCTTTTCTTTTCAAAAATAAGGATCTTTTTTCTTTTCTTTTTTTCTTACCCATTGGTAAAATGAGTCTTGGTTTAAATGGATGGCGTCCATAAGTTATCGTAGACAGTGCGCATGCGTTGCTATGCCGACCGCTGCTGTTTTTATTTTTATTTTCACTAGCAGGCACTTTTTAGTGTATTGATATATTAATAATGTAATGTATTTTTTTATATTCTTTTTTTATTATGAACGTATAATGACTGGCTTGACGGTGATTTCAATATAAATATGAATGCTGAAGAAGAAAAAGTATTTTAAAATACGTACATGGGCAAGGAGGATATGAAAATTAATCAGACGACAAACATCTTTTGTGCAACCCATGATTTGAAATGTCAATCCAGAATAGAAAAAGCACCCATGGGTGACTGTAATGAGGCGATTTTTATTATTATCTTATGTTGTTTGTAATCAACAATCGCTTATATTTTAAGTCATATAATTTGCTGAAGAATATTTTTTTGTTCACATTATTGATATCATAATTATGTTTATATTGCAAGAGCATATCGAAAATACAAGATTTGTCTAATTCACTTGCACGCTCATTGTCGACAAAGGAGTCCTGTCACGTGATTTTACCGAGTTAAATCTTCTGTCTGTCTGCAGGAGGAAAAAATGCTCTCTCTAAGACTATTTCTCCTCGAAGGCAAGGACTTATCTAGGAGAGGATTGGCTGAAGTTCTTATCTTTTCATAAGGAAACATATTTGATAAGATTTTGTGGTTGTCCTCCTGTTCACACGTTGAAAAAAGAGGTATCCAGACAGAACATAATAGAAGCTTTTATTTTCTGAATGTGTACTACTGCTACGTTCTCAAAAACTTTTCTGATGAATTTAATGGATCACATAGTAAATTTCTATAGCATTCAAATTCCAATAGTGTTTTAATATTTCTCTGTATGTTTTGAATTGCGCTTAAAAAGAGTAACAGAAGATGAGTTAGATAATAAATAAATCAATCAATGCACATTTTTTTACATGATTCTGTATATTTTGAATTGAGGTTTTTTTCCCTTTCCCGTATCCATAGTTTTTATTTATTTATTTTTAAATCGTTGGTGTTGTGGATAATAAAATAAATTCACAAAAATAAATTTTAAAATAAACTATCACACTATATGGCAGCGCATCACAATATCTAAAAAAAGTTATCACAATAGGACAACAACCACTAGTTACTGCAACCGATGTTGGATATGTCGAAAACATTGTCTTTTAATTTTCATTTATTTTATGATTTCAAAAATTTACTGATATTATTTCCGATTATATTTCATGGATATGCAGTTTTGCTCGTTTTAATTTGTGATGTATGACTGAAATTTCCATTTCGCAAAAGTTCAGCTTCCCGATGGGGTACAGTGCGACTTTCAGGAGAACTCCTCCAGACACCAGTCTCGCGTCGTGGCGGGTACCATGGTTACGAGGAAAAGTCACTTCGAATAGGGATGTGAGGTGAATAGTTTTGTCTTGATTTTGGCATGGGTCAGCGTGAGTAAGCCAATCGACACCTTCATTCCACCCCTATTAGAAATGTGCTTTTGCTTGTTACCATAGCAACAGACAGCTCCAGACTTTCAGTCTGGAGGAGTTCTCCTCAAAGCCGCACAATACTTTAATTTCAAGCTGTCGTTTATCGTAATGAGATTCCATCTCTTTTTTTCCAGGTAAATGTGTATGTTCTGAGAGCATGCGCAGTGTTGGAGAAAGCATCTGATACTCGACCTCAGGGTGAAAGTTCGAAGAGCCAAGCTGCCCAACAAGCGGAAGAGGAAGCGAGGGAGAAGGAGAGGAAAGCTAAACTAGAAGGTCTCTATAGTATATAATCTTACAATATCTCGAGAAATAAAGCTTAAATATGATAGAAATATTCATTCAATAATCCTTTCTTAAATATCGAGTTTCGTGTTCATTAAATTACTTTAAAAATGTTTATTATTAGCCAAAATGGGTCCTGGTTTCGATTAGATGGACACTTTTTTTTCAACCGTGTTCAAGAGTAATAGTAAAAAGTGCGCATGCGTTGATATGGCAACCGCTACTGTTTTTCGTTTCTTTGCGTACACCACCTTGCTGTTTCAACTTTTTAGTTTTTTTTCTTCTTAGCACTAGAAAGAGGGAAAATTAGCATATACCTATATTGCCCAAAAGCAGTCAAAATGATTGGATTGTGAATGCTTAGACAAATTTGCTTAAAATTAATTTTTATCATTTTTTATATAATTTACAGTTATATAACAAGTTATTAGTAAATATTAACAATAAAAAAAAATTATAACTTGTATAAAAGTCACAAAATTCTAAGAAATTGTGTCATTATATACATTTCTAATTGACTTCCTTCGGCAATCTAGTGTCAATAAAAATATATAATGTTTAACATTATGAGAAAGCAACTGCTCTCTATGACAAAAAAAAAAACGAGGTTGATTAATTTTGTTTGTTTTTGTGCTATAAAAAACTTATTTTGTAGCTAAAAACCATTTTTTTTTAAATTAAGGACAAAACAAAAAAAGCACTCTGTATTTTATGTACTGAAAAATATGACATTTATCTTAATTCGAAAAAAAATTGACATCAAAAAAAATCTTTGCCTAATAACCACTCCTTATTTTTTTACTCACCTTACTTTTATATTAAAATGATAAAAAAAAAGACAAAAAAAATCTTTGATTGTTTTTTATGTTGAAAATTATGTTTTGCATAATGAGGAATAATCTCAAATGGTAAAAATTGCTACATCACAGAAAAAAAAAATCTTGAAATTTGCCCCAAAAAGCATTTATAAAAAATTATTTCAGTAAAACTTTTTTAAAAATTTATCTAAGTATTTTTTGCATTTAAATAGCTTAATTATATAGTGTTGACTTTTTCTTTTTAACACTAGATTGCCCAAGAAAGTCATTTTGACTGCTTTTTAACTGCTTTTTCATTTGCAAAAAATNCACAATTTCTTAGAATTTTGTGACTTTTTGAACAACATATAATTTTTTCATTGTTAATATTTACTAATAACTTGTTATATAACTTTAAATAATATAAAAAATGATAAAAAATTAATTTTAAACAAATTACTTGACCCATCAATTATTCTTTCACCTTTCAATCATTTTGACTGCTTTTGAAGGCACTAAAGGTATAGTTTCAGTCTTTCTAGTGTTAATGCCGCCAGAATAAAGTAAATTGGTTTATAAATAAGAAAGATATGGACATTTTTATCATATGATCTGTAGTTACGACATACTCTTAAATAGAAACAGCTTCGAATTTGGCCGCCTAAAGGTAGTTTTATTCCAAATATTCTGAAAAAACTAGTTTAACCGTTTTTATGAGAAACATTTCTACAAAAAAATTTTCATGAAAATCTGTGTCATGAGAGCTGCGAGATTTTACAAAAAATTTTTTTTTTAATCTTGATTTCACTTGAAGTGAGCCGAACGTATTACATAATAGATATAATTACATATTGTATACATAGTCATATTATAGAAAAATCTGTACGAACCGTAATAAATATTTACCAAATTTCGATTTTTTTTTACGCAATTAATCACCTATTTATATATATATATAAAAAAAAATTCGCTTTTATTTTGAACTACCATGATATAAATATTTTTTTCTGGGGCCTTTCGAAAAACAATTCTCAATGGCTGTATTATTAATTTTGCATGAAAATTTTATAAAATGTTGCTCAAACGCTCTTTTATTATTTTTCGACATAAATACATAGTTGGATCTAAATCGGTTTTCCTTTGGAAAATATGCATTTTTCTCTTAAAAATCCAAGCATGATGAATTTTTTCCTTATAAAGGATTTTTTTTAAGTTGTTAAATTTGCTCAGTGTTCAAAAAAAAGGGAAATAAAATTTTCGGCAGAATTACGTGGATTTAGGGCCCTATTTTTCTTAAAATATCTAATGTTCAGGTAATTTATGATTTGCAGTGGTATTTTTAAAGCTGCTGGCTTAATAATATCTCAACAAAACTAATTTCCAAAAGTAAGAAAATTTTTATACTTTGCGTTTCAGAAACAATTACATCAATCCATTCTTATTGACATTCTCAAGCTCAAAAAATCAAATCTAATCAAACGCATCCAATAAAAACGAACGAAATTTTTCTTCCAAAAGGGAATCCCAATAAACCCATTGTCATGAAAAGAAAGACCTCATATTTTACGAACTAAATCGGAAGGAATATGAAGGGTTGATCTGCTATTTCTTATTCAGGCTTAAAAAAAAGGGGGGCCATTCACCTAAAGATTTATTTGTGTGAACGAGCCTAAAATAAATTATGGAGTTTAGATAGATCCGAGGTGTTTCACCTGTTTTAGAAATCTTTCAAAACAACAGACGATTGTATCGGGGGTGCTTATAGTCTCTAAAGTAAAACATAGGAAAAAGGCTATTTCTTGGGCATTACAAAAGGATTTGTTCTTTTTCAAACAAAGCCATTCTCACAGTCTTTAAATTGTCTTTCCAAAATAAAAGGTTTTTATGATGAAAATATTTTTTCTTTCTGGAAAGTTCCGAGTAAGTGTATATTTTTTACTGAATGTTTTATTCAAAATATGTACAGATTATTCGTAAGATTTTATGTAAAATCTCAATTATCAGGGTTTTTACGTAACCGTTTGCACTTTCATGTATCAATGGATTAAATGAGACGATATCTCATATATAGAATATTTATTATATATCAAGCATTATATGAGTATAGCAGACCAAATTATTAAGTAGTGTTTTAATAATCACATGTTTTACACGAGTTGATAGGCTTTAAACATGCACGTAATGGGTTTTTTTATAGACTTCCTATTTGCATTTATTTTTTGACGTGTTGCATTACAATGGATGGGTGATCGTGTAAAGCTAAGGGTGGTGGCGCTAGTGGTAAAATTGCTCTTTCAAGACTTCCGGGTTACTGCTTCCGATATATTTTTACGCCGCAGATTGAAAAAACGCGCCACCATATTATTGCATCATATCTTTTGTCGTATTTCACAAGTACCGAGTTCTTTCTTTCAGCCTTTAAACTTCAGCATTAACATATTAATATTATAATCATTAGAATATTTTCTAATTAGGCTAACTTAAAAAGATATTTTTGGCGACATTTTATTCAAATGTAGCCAAATAAGGGATAAAATACAAAACATGGCAAACCTTAAGAATTATTCACAATGAGATATTAACTTTCCAAAATTTTTTTTGGCCTTACGACCTCTGAGAATCAATACATTTCTGAAAGCTCTTATGAATGGTACAATTATGTTTAGATTTGAACCCAAATTACAATAACAAAACTGCATAGAATATTTGGCTTGCTCACACATAGCCTCGTAGTCATAACATGAGCGGAGGGATACACCGGAAATTTTCTAAATTTCTTCCGGTTTAAGGACGCTTGTTATTGTTTACATTAGACCACCCATTCATATTAACCAATGGATACACGAACGTAAACAAATATAAAGCGGTCTCGTAAAGACAATAAAGCTGTATATCACCTGATCATTAAGATTTTACATAGAATCTTCAGAGTGCGTCTAGATCAGGGACTGTGTATGGCAGGACGAAATTATGGGCACGGATAGAAATATGATTGTGATCAAAAACTTCAAAAATGTTTAAAATGAATGTTTAAAAAAAAAGTTATTCAATAAGCTAAAATTATGTGTTGAAAAGTAACACCATTGTGAAATTTTAAACATTCTTACAATATAAACATTTAGCATGCATTATTATGCATATATGGAAAATAAATTTCACTTTATTAATAATGTAGACATATTTAAGCAATTATTTATTTCACTCATATCAAAGGGCGTCTATAAGTTTTTTTTATGACGGGGTAGCAAGCAAAACCTTTTCATTTTTGTAGTAAAATTAGTTCGGTAGGGCTGTTGGAACATTACTGTTATTTATCAATCAAAAAGTTTTTGCAGATTGGCTAGAAACGTCACACTTTCAGCAAATTATTAATTGATTTATATATTCCAATCTTCGACTTTATTTACTGTTTTTTATGACAGGAATATTTGCTTTACATATGCAATATTTGCTTTATATAATATGCAATATTTGCTTTATATAATATGCAATATTTGCTTTACGTAAGTTCAAAATGTAGGTATAACATAGAAAAAATCACAGAAAATTGAAATAAAGGGAAAAAAATAATAAAAATAAAAATCCGAAAAATAAATATCCCAAAAAAAGGAGAGAAAAATTATAAAATTCTTAATCTTTTAATCAGCTCACAATCTTTTAATCAATCATCAATCCGCAAAAAGGAGTGCTTTCTAATATTGTATCAATATAGCCAAAGCAGAATATATCAATACAATAGTGTGAGGAGAACTAATAAAAAGATAAATGAATGAATAATATAGATATATATATATATATATATATATATGCACTCTATAACAAAAGAATAGACGCACCAAGAACAAGAAGGAGTTGTTCGATTGAAACGAAAATTGGTGGATGGGAAGACAATGTACAGAATAGTAAATAATTAAAATTTCAGAACAATTGAATAATTTATTGCAGAGTTACAGTAACAAGTTCAATAAGGTGTTGACCCGCCTTTAGCCTGGATACAAGCTGCCACACGGCGTGGCATAGACCGATAAAGCTCCCGGATGGTCTCTTGCGGTANGGTTTTTGATGGGACGGTTTAAACCGTCAAAAACTGTCACATGTCAAAAACCTGCCAACCCTGGACAAGAGGAATCAACTGATCACAGAGCTAACCAACTCTACTAATGTCCATTCTAGAATTGAGCTAAACAGGGTCAATGCAGACATCAGAAGATCTTACGCTGAAAACAAAAGATTGAAATGGTTGGAACTTTGCTCCAAGCTAGACTCGAAATCATCTGACACTAAACTTTGGAAACTTGTTAAGAGCCTCAATAAGAAACAACAACAACGTGACGTAGTTTGAATTTTCTGTCTATCTTTGGAAATCTCAAATAAATATAATTATTTTATTTCAACGACTGAATTTTCAGATAAAAGCGGAATATTTATTAAAAAAACAAAAATGCAACTTTTAGAGAATCTGATTTTTTTATAATGTTACGGTGGTTTAAAGACACAAACTACTACTTATCATTTTAACCAATGATCGTTTATTTTATGCATATATTGTTGAATTAATTTACATACTCTAACTGTTTAAAATACTCAAATTAATAATACTTTATACAATAACAAATTAAATAAATTAAAATTCTCTGATTAATAACAAATTAATTGGCATGGAGAGAACTTACCTATACTGATGTTCATTATAAAAGCTGATGAGCCTCTAATGACTCGGTTCTACTATCTCTCTCTCGTTTGTTGTCTTTTTTTTTTAACTTTTATACTATATTTTTTGTTCTATAAAACTATTGCTAAATTCTGGAAAGGTCACATAAGAGATCAAACTTGGACTATAGACTTGTGATTAACCCTTTTCGACACAGATTTCTTAACTTTAATCAAGAGTGTTTATTTGTATTTGCTAAGGTTCTATGTACTAATGGAAGTTTCCACAGTATTTTAAATCTTTTATTGTGAATCTGAAGCAAGGCACACCGGTTGATGCACGTCCCGGTTTATTCAAATCAAACGCCTTGGGGAGATTATTTACAGTCAATCCAGGGCAGACTGAGTGCTTTTATTTTCGACTGTTGTTGGTTAATATCACCGGCTCATTGTCATTTCAAGATATACGTAAAGTCGATGGACATCAGCATCCAAGGTATAAAGATGCATGCTTTGCACTCGGCTTGCTGGAAGACGACAACCAGTGGGAATGTATGCTTGCAGAAGCAGCATTGAACTGTACTGCAAAGCAAAATCGTCTACTGTTTGCTATAGTATTGACTACGTGTTACCCGGCCCGTATAGAAACGTTATGGGATAATCATAAAGATTCGATGACTGATGATATACGGTATCAACATCGCACACGTTGCAACGATCTAACGATAGCATTCAGCGATGCTATGTACAATGAAGCACTGATTGCTATTGAGGATCTATGCATTATTATTGCCAACTTGCCACTCAGTCACTTCGGTATGCCTTCGCCAAGTCGAAGTGCATCTGATTTATTAAACACTGACATAAATCGTGAACTTCAATGCAGTACGATAGAAATAGCAGCGATTGTTTCTCGCAATGATCCACTAATGAATGAGGAACAAAGGAACATTTATGACCGCATTATGCTCGCAGTTTCGGCAGGACAAGGTGGATTTTTTTTCCTGATGCACCAGGTGAAACTGGCAAAACATTAATTATTTCGCTGATTCTCGGTGAAATACGATCAAATACTGGCATCGCGTTGGCCGTTGCATCATCTGGCATTGCGGCAACTTTATTGGATGGAGGCAAAACGGCTCATTCAGTATTTAAGCTGCCACTAAATATTCAAAACAACCCAGATGCAGTGTGCAACATAAAAAATATTTCGTCTATGGTCACAGTGTTGAAACACAGTAAAATTATCATCTGGGATGATTGCACTATGGCACACAAACATTCGCTTGAGGCGTTGAACAGGAACATTGAAGGATATAAAAAAACAATGACAAATTATTTGGCGGCACTCTGTTACTCCTTTCAGGTGATTTCAGACAAACACTTCCCGTCATTCCGCGTTTAATGTGCGCTGATGAGATGAATGCTTGCTTGAAATCATCTCCACTGTGGCGCAATGTTGAAAAAGTTCTACTAAAAGTAAATATGCGCGTCCAAATGCTTCAAGATCCATCTGCTGAAACATTCTCAAGACAATTGTTAGATATCGGTGATGAAAAAGTTACTATGGATGAGACTGGATGCTTAAAATTACCGGACGATTTCTGCACAATCATTGATTCACAAGATGCTCTCATTAGCCTAATATTTCCCGATGTACACACGCAATACATTCATCATGAGTGGCTGGCAGAAAGGGCTATCTAAGCAGCAAAAAATGTGGACGTCAACGAATTGAATCTGTAGATGCAACAGTTATTGCCAGGTAACTTGGTGACATATAAATCCGTTGATGCAGTTTGCGATCCCATTGAAGCTGCAAATTTTCCAACAGAGTTTTTAAACTCATTGAATTTACCTGGCATATCACCGCATAATTTTAGTACTCAAAGTTGGATCTCCGGTTATTTTGCTTCGTAATTTGAACCCACCACGGCTGTGCAACGGCACGCGATTAGGCGTCAAAAAATTTATGAACAACGTCATCGATGGGTGGGTGGGGGGAATTAAATGGTATGTGATTAACTGATTAAATTAAATTTTTCGAATTAATCTATTCATTAGTCAAACATTTGAAGCTTTATTATTATGAGAACTTCTATTCATCAAGTTCCTCCATTAAAGGGAAGAAAATCAAAGTTGCAGAGAACCATATATTGATCATCTTTCTTCCCATGAGAGATGATTTTATCAAAGGCCGCTCTCGGAAACTGAATTTATTTCACCGCCATTTGATTACATTCGCACATTCCAACAGGAATCATTTATTTTACTGAATCTTCGCTCTGCTCTTAGGATTAAATCTTTGAAAACACCGTTTCGTTATGATTACATTATAAAAAAGAATTACATTCATATGTTGCTTTATTTTCACTTATTTTTCCGACTTCAATTGCTGCTACAGTAGAAATCAATTTGGAAGTGAACTATTATTCTTTTTCACTGCTGCGGATTTGATTACATTTGAAATATTAAATTTTGCATTCCCGCTCTTTGATAGATAAAAAAAAAGCCAGGTTTTGTTATGATTGAAATAAAAACTAGCTTGTTTTTATAGTAGCAAAATAAACAAATTAAATAACTATCTATAGTCTCACATTTAAATTTCAACTTAATTCCGGTCTGATCGAAACAGAAGCAAATAATTGAATGCCTACCATTTAATGAAATGAAATAAGAATTTACGAAAAAATTAGTTGAATCTAATCATATAAAAAAAATATATAAATTTAGAATGAAATAAAATTTTTGCGCATAAATAATGCATTATTAAAAACTTAAGAGCGTATTGAGCAGCATTATCCTTTAAATTTCCCTCCATTTTGGTAGGGTGTTAAGTTAACGGTATTATCGTGCTTCTTAAACTCTACTACATCAACTCAAATTGAAAAAACATGGTCCGATTTAACACCTTATTACTGTTTGTATTCGCGATCGTAACTACCTATAGAGAGCGTTGTTGTATGAGACGAATAGCTGCAATTTCTATATGAACAGTCATTCAGTTGCTCTGGAAATGTCATCCATGTAGCATTGTAACGTTCCTTCTTTAGGGTGGCTTATTAATTTTTTAAAAAAAAATTTTGATATATATATTCTTTCCTATGCAAACGAAAACAAAATGGTATATCTTTTTTTTAGAGAAGGGACATCCAAAACACATCTGAAATATATTTGTAAATAAATTTAATTAAATAATATTCTTTTCGTTATATTATTCATATTAATATACATTATGATACTACGCGTATTCATTTTTGGTTTTATTGTTAATTTTCATCTATTGTTTTTGTGTTATTTGTGTTCATTTAAATCTTTGTTTTTCTTTGCAGTTGCCACGGTGCAACAGATAGAGGAAGAAAACACTCTGCTCATTAACGATCTTTACCGACTTTTAAAGAAGTATGCCAACTTAAGGCAAGTGGTTCATACACTTCACCTATCGTACCGTGCAGCGCGCATGTACCCAATCTTCCCTCGGTACAACATGTTGAAAGACATGATCAAGAGTGTCATGCGAGATCCCAGCTATATGGAAGTGTGTCACGAAGAGAGCTAAAAGCTCTCTCCTTCTGCTTCCCCTCTCCCTCCTCTTCTCTCGCTCTAATGGCGCCAACAAAAAAATAATAATTCTGAGCGTGGATGCTCAGGTGGTCAGTCGCAAGTAAACTGAATGTTCCTGTGTCACCAAAATTATTAAAGATTGAATAACATTCGGAAATACTTCTTAACGTTTTTGGACGTGAAATAGGAAAGATAAATAATAAATAAAAAGCGTTCCTACGAAACGAAAGGTGACGTCTGTGAGACCGTATAACGTTTTAACCAATTATTACTTAGTAGTTTAAATTCTTGAATGTAAATATTGTTCCACACTATATTTAGCATCTTCTCCTGTTTTTATTTACATGTTATGTTCTGATTCGGATGATGTAATCTATGTTTGATCTCAAAACAAAGTAGAGCTGTTTACCTCTTTTTAAAGTATCGAGAAAAAATATTTCGAACATAGAATTAAAAATTAAGAATTTATTTTTTCTAAATCATCTTATTCTTTTGCTAAATTATTAATTTTTTGATATTTCAAAATAAATGTTATGAATTTTATGATAAGATAAATAAAATTTAAGAAAATAAAAATTAAGATAAATAATTATTTAAGATAAATAAGATTTATACTTTTATAAAATTTATATTTATTTATGGTTAAATGCAAACGATATTGATATATAAATTAAAAATTCAGCGCAAACGATAGTTAAGAATCGTTTATCCAAACGATATTTAATAATCAATAAAAGCAGACGATATTTTGAAATGATTAAAAGCAGTCGATATTTAAGAGTGCATTCTCGCGAACGTACAACGAGAGAGGGAGAGAGGGTGGGTAACAGAAGTTTCACTGCCAAATTAAATAATTCTAAAAAGAAAATGGTGATTTTGAAGTAATCGTTCTCCGCCGCGTCAGATCATTCAACGAACAGCGTCTTGGTGTTCTTAATATCCTATCCCAGCATGGAACTGTTCTTGTGAAAAAGGACGGCCAGGTTTGCCCAAGGGCGATTTCTAGCTTTTACAATTGACTGTTTCTAGCTTTCAAACATCTTGTTGTTCAAATGTTTCATCTTTTTAGTTTCTTTTTCAACAAAATCTCAGCAATATCTGAGATAATTCACGACTCTTTCATTATAAGAACCTGATTGGTTGAAAACATGATACAGGATCTCTGTCAATAATAATTTTTTTTTTGAATTTTATTCGACTGTTGTTTGATAAAATATGAAAACATGTGTGCATGTCAAAAAGAGATTATTTACAAAATGGTGTTACTTCAAAATAAGGTTGCGTCCCGCTCTAGCCAATTCAACAAAAGAGTTGTTCTGAAAGTTAATTGTAAGCTAAAAAAAAATTTTACATTCAACAAAAGTATGAGTTATACATGCATTTAAGTACTTAAAAAAATAACTAAACTACAACTCTGTTTTGATGTAAGTTTAAATACTTTAAGACAAATTGCTTGTCGAATCGGCGAAGTTGTTTCCCCAGACCCGCAAAGTTTATACGTACTGTATGATAATACGAGACTGTATTGAGATCACTTGGTTGAACTAGAGTGAGAAATTCCATAGTGTGAGCCTCTTGAATCAGGCTATCACACGTAGTTACGGTTCTGAAAACAAATTATATCATCATTTTTCTAATGATTATTAATGCAATCAAATAAGCTCGCAAAGAACTTTTTAATCATCAACAGAAAACACATATTTTAATCAAATTTCGATTCACTTTATTTAAGCTGAAAACAAATTTTCATCACTTTATGAAAAGCTTCTGTAAACAGAAATTTTATGTTTTATTTTGTGCAATTAAACTTAATGCTATATTTTTAACTTCCACTCTACTCACATTAAGAAGTATTTATTGTTAATTTATTTCATGTGTTATTGAGAATTTAAACTTAATGCTATATTTTTAACTTCCACTCTACTCACATTAAGAAGTATTTATTATTAATTTATTTCATATGTTATTGAGAATAGGTTTTAATATGTTCTTTTGTTTCTTTGTGTGATTATAGCTTTTTATCTGTTTGACAGCTTTTTTAAACAGATTTTGATATCAAAACCTTCTCTAAGCCACATTGATGTAAATTATACTATTATTTAATTACATTTTGTGAAATGTAAATATGAATTCAAATAATTTTAGAATTTTTAAAGTATTAATTTGTTATGCAATTGACTCAAAAGCAACTCAGGAGCAACTCATTAGAAGCAACTCAATCAGGTGCTATTAAAGGGATTACGAAGTTTTTTCCTCTTATGAGCCATGAAAACTACTGTTCGAAACATACAACCGGTTATAATTTTAACTAAAAATATCATTTTAACTTATGTGACTTATTATAGTATTGCGATCAGTATTTGTATGCTTTCATACTTGAAAAAAATCATGGTTTACAGTCCCTGGACAAATTATTAGACGCACTGTAAGATTCCATATAAAATCTTAATTATTAGTTTTATTGTTTTTACGTGAATGAAACCCGTTTGCATTTGTTTATGTCCGTGTATCAATGGGTTAACATTGTAATGCAATACGTTTAAAATAAATACAAATTGGAAGCATGTAAGAATAAATATCCATTACATATGTGTTTAAGTATAAAAGTATTGCATACAAACTTAGTGCAAAACGTGTCATTATTAATAAACTAGAGTGCGTTTAATAATTGGGTCTAAATATTAAAATATACTAATATAATTCCCGATATAATAAATATTTATATAATATATAGCGCCAAATTTAGCCAATCATCCAATTTATATTATACATCGTCTAATTTAACCCATTGATACACGAACGTAAACAAATGTTTTCAGTCGCTTAAAAACAATAAAGCTGTATAGAATGATAATTAAGATTTTTACACAGAGTGCGTGTCTCATAATATAGCCTGTATATTCTTTTCTATTGAAATATTTTATAATTTGGATATTTCCTAAATTGGTCTCTTCTGATTTAATGTACACTTTTATAATAAATCTTTTCTTTTTTAAAAAAGAATAACGGAAGACAGGGAATCCCAAAATCAATCAGGTTCCAATGTATCAATAATAAAAGAAAAAAAAAGTATTAAAAACATAATTCGTTAGATAAATTGGACTATGTTCCAAGATTCATCACCTTTAGAAACGTAGAATGTAATCATTAAAAAAAATCGAAATATTTTAGAATGCAGCGAAGTAAAAAGATTTCCGTGGCAAATTTAGCAAATGTCAAACAAAAAATAAGAGTTACCATTATCAGTAATTTGCAAGTTATTTAGTTGAAACGCAATTGTTAGAATTGTCGGAAAAATAGAAGACAATGCACGAGGTAGCGATTTTTTTTTTTTTACTTGAGAATTTAAATGAGAGAAGAATTCGTTTTTAACAAAAGCACAATTGCAGTATGAGTTTTTAGCCATTTTGTTTTTATCCATAATTCATTTTCATCTTGAATGGGGACCACCTGCCTGGTTTTTTTTTTAAAAAAACTGGGAAATTATAAAACGAGAAAAAAGTGAAACAAAAATTTACAACTTACAGGCTAATTCTGGTGCCATACAAATACACTTACCACTGAAAAGTTCGTTAAAGTATTTATGCGCACATGAAAAGTTTGTATGTGAGTTACGTCAAAAACCTAAATCTGAAAAAAAAAAAAACTTTTTTTTTGGAAAGTTATGCCAAGTATTACGATCTAAAGAAAGGCTTTACATGTGGTATGTCAAAAACCTAGATCTAAAGAATGGTTTTTATATTTTTTATGTCGGATACATGAATATAAAGAAAAGTTTTTATGTGTGTTATGTCTGATAGAAGAATCACACGAAAATGTTCTTAAGTGTGTTCTATAATTCTTACGTACTTTTTGCTGAGAAATGTGGTTGTCTGGTACGGAATTGAGTCGTAACTGTTTCATTCAATCTTTAATCGATTTAAATTTATGAATCGGATAAAAGAGTCAGAAGCACGACTCAATAGATAAATTATGCAAAAGTCAAGCGTAGAGATTGGCGAGGTGTAAATGTCTTTGCTCAATATGAAAAGTTTTTAATTTAATGATAAAGTTTTATCAGAGCAAAAAAAGTATCCTATTACTGTAATAAAAATCTGCTACCATTTCATTTTTATTTATTTCTGCTACCATTTCATTTTTTTATAAACACATTTATCTGATCCGAGTTTCCTATAGTCCTTTTTATTCTATTATTAGAAGGGAACCTTCATTGCTTTATAGTTTTTAAACCATCGTAAGAAACGGCATTAAGTATTTTCATCGGAGGAAAAATGCTTCAAAAATACGAATACAATATTTTTATCCACCCCCTTAAATTTTCCTCTTTATAAATCAGGTTAAATGAATAAACAACTAAACTATTAGTTATTTTTTCATGTCTTCAAATTTTAAAAAATATCTCGCCATTTCTTTTGTTGCCATTGACGGCGCATCGTCTTCCATTCTATTTTGTCTTCTAAAATCGTTTGCATAGGAATATCTTTTGAGTCGTTGCCATTCTGCGAAACAAAAAAATGTGATTTTTTGCCAAGGAAGTGTGATTATCTAATGACCAAACCAAATTCTGATCTTACAGTATTTTTATAAGGACTGGAATTGTATTTTAATAATCTTTGTCTTGTTCCTCCAGCGATCTCTAGCAAAGTCATCACTTTCTAAAAATTATTCGCTCAATTCGTTATTCAACAACTGACTAATAAGCATATCAAGGAGGACTCTAAAAACATCATCTACACAAATGTTTTATGGGAAACCGCGTACGTCGTGCATCAGGAAGTTCTTCTGAGAAATTGCTTTAAATCTCAGGATTCTCATTCTTATAACATCATTTAAAAAGTTCTATCGCTATGAGTGAGTTTTAATAAAACGATGAATCGTCAAGAAATATCGATATTACATAGCGATACTTTGAAAATTTAACTTCTATGCTTGTAAGTATTTTTGTTGAACTAAATGAAACTTATTACCTCGAGATAAATTATCATTATTGTTAATTCTTACTTTGTCGATAACACGATATCTATCGCTGCATTATCGTACTTGATAATGAACTTCATTATTTTTCTCGTGACATTATCGTTTCCGATATTTATTGCTGTCATCTAACGTTCTTGATAGTATCGTCGTTGATATTCATCATAAATCAAGATGATCCACGATTATGAAAAGAGCGCGTGTTTAAAATTTCGTTTGTTTTATTTTAGTATATGAATCATCGCTCAGCTCTGTTTCTACTCATGAAAATCTACTGCCTATTCAATTTCCCGGACCATAGGTAGTTTGAAAAAAATTCTAACCCATTTTTCATTTTATTGTACTCTATCTTAACAATTTTTTTTCATTTTTGCAGTTTATCTTCACAATGTTGCAATAAAAGTTCTCACAAAATCATTTATAACCTATTCAAAATGTATCCGTATTTTTGAGAAATACAAAAAGAATAGGATGCTTTCATTAAAGTATATTTTTCTTATTATTGCTCCTAAAATGTAAG